ATCTATATTTATTCACACCAGCTCTTGAAAACCTCTATGCGAACACACTTGCCCGCGTCCCCCGCGTAATCCACGCCCCTGGCTCTCGGTCATACCGACGACATTACCTGAGCAGTCGAAGGCTGCGCATTTATTGCATGGACGGAGCAAAAATTTAAGTGTCTAAAGCATACGCAGTTCCATTGAATGAGAATTCGCACTGAAGGAGACGTGATCTCGCGCTCATAGAGGCAGAAATGTTTAAAGATTTTGGAAACATGTAAATTCATGATTTGTCATTCTTCAAAATAATGCTTCAGCACAATTTCCATATTTAATTAAAACTGAATATTTGACTAAATTCTTAAAATATTAAAACAATTTGAAAACATTTTATGTTTATGGACAAAATGTGTTTTATTTTTTATAATGAAAAGAGGAAAAAAATTCTGCGGACACTATAATAATGTGTCATATTATTGACTGGGTTAATTTAAGTAAATAATTTTTGTTTGTGTTTATGATGTCAATTGGATATACACAGGAAGGATAGCGAAGAATAGTTAGGCTGAAAAGATGAGTGTTTTCATGCTAATGAGGTTAATCCTATTTATGTACCATCTGTACGTTTACATTCGCTGAGCCAGAACTGTCAGCGCTGCTTTATCTCATCGCTCTCGTTCTTCCTCTTTCTCTGTCTCTCTTTCCCTTACCCAGATTCTCTTAATTTATCTATCCACCTATCCACCCCTCCAATATTTAGTAACTATTTCAATAAAAACTGAAACGTGTACATATGTAAATGTATATACACCACCATTCAACAGTTTAGGGGTCGGTAAGATTTTAAAATATTTTTGAAAGAAGTCTCTTTTGCTTAAAATAACTGTAATGTATTTTAAAATTTAATTTATTCCTGTAATGGCATCCATCAGATGCCAATGATATTCATTTTACCAACTGCTGAGTTACACTCTGGCTCACAGTCTGAACATTAAACTTATGCACAGTGTCCAAAACGCTTAATCCATTAGCCATACCCTAAATATTTTTGTCTATAAATTACGTTTACTGTTAGCCTGTTAAACTGCACACAAATGACTCTGCAAGCAGCAGATCTGAAACCAAAACTTTTTTCTTCGTTAGCATACATTTTTCAGATTTTATGCCCCGTCTTCCCCACATTGTTCTCAATATCTTGTATACCACTCTCCTCTGTCCTCTCAGAGCAATGGTACCTTTTTCTTTGGTTGTGTTCTAAACAGTGTCTAATTACTGCTCTTAAATCCTCTTAAGTGCCCTGTGCTATTTCTGCATAGGAGCACAGAGTTGTCCAACGTATCTTGACTTAAGAAAGCTTCTTTGTACCCTCCCCATGCACACTCAAAAAAGCACGAAGGACAAGCTAATGGTGATAGTGACCACATTAACAGCTCACTGAAGGGACATATTCGGACGGTAAAAAAAAAGGTGAGCAGGCAACTGTTTGATTTAGTAGGTTTCTTTGGGACCAAACTGATTTACTCATGCAGTTACAGAATATTTCATGTCTATTCAGCGTCATGCTTAGAGGCTTATTTTCCTGTTTGTTCTGTTTTACAGCTTTAAGTGAGTCACAGTGTTATTTAACTAAAGCCTATTCAGATTAGATGCATCTTTTCCTGTTTGTTCTGTTGCACCTTTAATTAAGTTGGTGTTATTTAACTAAAGCCTATGTAATCATAGGCCTGAACATACTTTTGATTGTGATGTTACAGCCAAATGGGTTGCGTGAAACAAAGTCTACTTTGATTTGATTTGCATGCTAAAGTGACAGCATAATTCCTGTTTGTCTGTGAATCTAAAGCAAACCTTGTACTGTAGATAGCGGTAGTGTTGTCTACGGTATATTTATCTCAGAAAACTATTCAAACATTCATGCCATGTTTATCATTCTGCATGATTCAACAAGATAAGATTCAGATCAGACTGAATGAAAAACATTCAAGAAGACTCAGATAAAGGCATAAAGAATCAAAGGGGCTAAAAACAGTAAAGCAAAGCCATAATCGTGTAAGTGCTTAAATATGAAAATAGTGTTGTTGTTGTTGTTTTAGGAAATATACAAATCTTAAAACACCACTTTCCAAGAAACAAACTGAAATGGAAGACTAGAGTAATCTGTGTGCCCAAACCAATCATCCAAGTTTAAAAGAGATAAAGAAAACTGAGGCAACCTCCAAAGCTGTCACTGGATTGTAACGGTTGCCGTCTGAGCTGAGGCATTGCATCATAGCTGTAATCTCAATTAGCGATCAGTGAATTACTGAGAGTAGTGAAAGGTACAGGTGCTGGAGGGGGTGTGAGGTGGGTATGAAGACTCTGAGCTCTAGTATCAAGCTGCTAATCTGCTGCAGTGATGTCCATGAGCTTTATCTGATCTCAGTCTCAACCTCATATGAAAAAGATCAGCTTAATGACAAACCTGAACACAACCAAATATGTCCTGCATTGTTCATTTTAATGTTGGCATTGGCAGTGGTATTGCTTATAGAATCGAACAGAATCAAAGAAATGTGCATTAAAAAGAATAACAATTAAACTGACTTAAGCCTATTTAAAGTGTCTGGGTTGAAATAGGAATTGATGCATATTTTTAATTGATTGAGGACAGTTAATTTGTCATTCCATGACATCATATCGACAACGCCCACTTGTGCAAACAAATTGGATCAAGGGGTAATCTGATCTTCTTACTCTTGTTAAACCTAATATCTTCCAAGAAAGAGTGATCGGGTTCAGCGCCACAAAGACACTGTGCACGTGCCAACATTTCAATTAAGGTTTGATGCTATACCTTGCTCGAACTGAAGATGAAATGTATCTTGACTTCCTGCAAAAGTAATGAAAAAATATGTTTTCTTTGTTTAGAGCTAGATTGTTCAGAGACATACAGCTTTTGTTACTTTTGTTGAAACCATTAAGAGAATTTTATTTATTTTGACATATATACGTGACATGAAGATTTGACCTTTTTCCACAGATAATCAACAAATAAAAATGTCTGACAGAATCGTAGATGAGGAACCAGTGGCTGTCACTCACACAGGTCGGTATGGTTCTTATTGTTTGTGAGACTGTAAAATGAATGGGTAGGAAAAGTGATCTAATGTATTAAGAGCATGCAAAATGAGGACAGAAAGGTTTTCCCAAACTGGAGTTTGTGAATTGATGAAAAGCAATTAATTAAGTAAATCATAAAATTAAAATAAATCCAATCAAAATAAAACAATTACTAAAAAGCATGAAATATTTTATTTGTTTACCTGCATGTCATATGACCATTTACCAAAAATACAAACGTATTGTCCGCACACTGATGTAACTGCTCCATAAAAATAATTTATTGCGGTTACATCACTGTGCGGACAATACGTTTGTACTTTTGCTATAGTTTGACTTTTTTTTTGTCCTGCACCTGAGCCCTGTGTGGGTTTGTGGGATGTGCGCAACTTTCTTACACTTTGGTTATATGACCACAGAACCAAGTGCATGAACTTGCGAATGTGTTGTTGGATGATTGAAATGAACTTAAATTTAAAACCTGGGGGGGGTACTTCAAGAAACTATTTTAGTGGGAATCCTTGCATTATGGTTGCCAGCATCCCATAATGAACAACATGGTGTTCTTGTGGAAAAATTAAAGAAGAGTACACACATTCAGGAGACTTTGAGGCCTGATTATAATTTTAATTATTGAACAGAATTTGAAGAAACAACATCAGTGTGCGGATATTCACTCATTTTCCCCCATATTAGTCAAATTATAGATCAAATAAATTCCTATAAAATACAGTATTTCTGACCTGAACTGAACCGATATCATCCACCATTGAAAGTGAACTGACTACGGTAGGCTAGAGCTTGTCTGTGATTTATGGTTGGCTTGCTGCAATTAGTTATAACAACTTAAATTTGTTGAATTTAAAAATCCAGCTTAACTAAACTAAAGTTAACTAAACTTATAATTTTAAGTAAAGCACAAAGTTGAAACAACACATTATTATATTCTAATGTTGAATTTTAAGTTGTGATAACTTATCGCAGCAATCATTTTTTGCAGGATATGTATGGATGTAATCCACTCATCTATTCATTCACTTATGGTATTTAAATTTCCAACCATCTCTAGGACCAAAGGGTGTCATCAATGACTGGCGTAAATTTAAACTGGAGAGCATGGACCAGGAGGCTCTGCCTCCCAGCAAGAGAGAGCTGCTAAGACAGATGTCGTCCCCCCACAAACCCAGAGACTCCTGTGTGGGTGGATTCAATCGCAAGGTTGCCTCTTTTGACCATCATTTCAAAATAAAAACTTGCTCTTTGAAGAAAATCAATGCTTTTCTAAATTAGGTTGTAAAATATGCATTCTAAGAATGGATGGTAAGTTTCCATCTATAATATTACTTTGGTCAAAAATAACTATGCTAAGTTTATACATCTAACATTACTGTAATAGGTAGAAAAAGTGACTTGATACAAAGTAAGTATTTACAGATAATATTTTAATAATTTTTCATTGTACTTTGGATTCAGTTCAATGACCATATAAAAGCCAGTTGTTTAATTTTGGAAGCTACATATTGCAGTTGTCATTCCCAAAACTCTGCATTAGCCTTAAAAGCTTTTAATTTCCCTCCTTTTTCACTTCCCAGATGAGCGCTCAGGAGTATGAGCTGATAAAGGAAGATGATGAGAAAAGTCTGCGTAAGTACCGCAAGCATTGCATGCAGGAGATGCACGAGCGCCTGAGCTTCGGGCCCAAATTTGAGGGTGTGTACGACCTTGACAGTGGCGAGGACTTTCTGGAGGTCATTGAGAAGGAGCACCGGCTCACAGTGGTGGTGGTGCACATCTACAAAGATGGAGTGCAGGGGTGCGAGGCACTTAACAGTTGCATGGATTGCTTGACCACAGAATATCCCAGCGTTAAATTCTGCCGCATTAGCGCGGCCGCCACTGGAGCTGGCGAGCGTTTCCCAGATGACGTGCTGCCCGCCTTGTTAGTGTACAAGGCTGGAGAGCTTCTGGGGAACTTCCTGGCTGTTACGCAGCATTTCAGCGAGGAGTTCTTTGCTACCGATGTAGAGGCCTTCCTCAATGAATATGGACTGCTGCCAGAGAAGGAATGTGGCCCTGGAGCTGATGAGAATGAAGCAGATGTGGAGTGATGAAAGATGGCAGAGAGTAAGAATGGATGAAATGAATGGGAGGAATGCTTTTCTGAATATGACAAGAATAAGTTTCATTATTCTTCCAGCTAGCATGATGAGATGCATCCGTGTGCACATGCATCTCAGGGTAAAGATCTCTTTGAGCATTGTAGAGAAAACTACTGAATGTTTTGTACAGTACAGCAAGGAATGGAATCAAGTCAAGAAAGATAATAAGATAATAAACTATCCTGTTTTCTCATATAAACAAATAGACAATTGCATGAATATGAATTAGATAAGAATTAATTAGTGTCATGTGGAATAATTATGCACATATTGATGTACATGTGAATGCATGTAGCAAAAGATGATGCAAATAAGAATGGTCCATGATCGGTTTTAGAGCTCTTTCTTTCGAAGCAGCACAACATTGTATTTTCTATTGGCTTTCAAACTGTGAATTGCTTTTTTAAGGAATATCTTACCCATAAATTTAAATTAGCTGAAAATGTACTCACTCTCAGGCCATCCAAGATGTGGATGAGCTTGTTTCATCGGAACAGATTTGGAGAAATTTAGCTTGACACATAGACTTGAGTCATGTTACTTGTTCCCACATAGTGGATCGTTGTGATGTTTTTATCAGCTGTTTGGACTCTCATTCTGACGGCACTCATTCACTGCAGAGGATCCATTGATGAGCAAGTAATGTAATGCTAAATTTCTCCAAATCTGTTTGTATGAAGAAACAAACTCATCCACATCTTGGATAGCCCAAGGGTGAGTAAATTATCAGCAAATCGAAAAATATTTCTTTAACCGATGCTTGACCATGATTTTCGGGGTGTACAGAAATTTTGTACGTTTCAAGATAAGCAGTATCCCAAGTCAAATTTGATTCTCTGGTGGGGATGGTTTTAACCTACTTTTGGTTTGCATGCACAAGCTGTCTTACTGTAAATTGGTTTGGCTGGATTTTGCATAAACCAGGAGATTTTGATGTAAACTGTATTTTTAGACATACGTAAATAAAAACAAATGGAAACGTTCAACATTTCCTCTGACTGCACTGTAGATTTAGTTTAAAATGCTACATGTTTACATGCTCCACTTGCACGCAAATTACATGTCACCCCTGAAGAAAGCATTTGAAGAACAGAATCAATCAAGAGAGCAATAAAGTGAAATTCCAGAGAATTTGCACCTTCCTTTAATGTGGTTTGAGAAGCAAGACGGCACTTGCTGAAACACAATCTCTGCAACTGACTTTACCATGACCTGCAGGTTCAAAAGTTCCATTGTATATTAAAAGAATAGATACTTACTGCACATTTATGCTTTTTCCAATCGTTTGCCCATAACTTCACATGTTCTAATTATGCATTTATGGGAATCTTCCTTTGAGTTGAGTTGCATAGTAATGGCAATGATCAGGATTTAGCTGAACTCCTGATGAACCATGGGTTAAGAAGAAGTGAGCCAGCAAAATACATTCTACTGTTGATGGCTACTAAAGAAGCCAGGGCTTTTCAGTGATACCCTCTTTTTAGAGTGGGTTATCTGCTGTTGTCCTGAAATAGCTGGTTAAATACCTGGAGTCAACAAACAAACATAGTTCAATATGACTATCATGTCATCAGTAAGCTTAATCAGTGCAGTAAGTGGCTAAACGCCCATATTGTCATGTTTTTATGAGAGGTGTGTGTGATCTTTTTTTGATAAGCTTAGTCTGGAATCTTATTACTGGATTTAAATCCAAGATCTTATTTTGATTAGTGTCAAAATACGGGCTGCCCCGACTGGAGCCTTTGTCATCATGCAGGATATTTTCACTCTAATCCAACAATTAGTGTTTTTGAAAAACTATTGTAGAATAAATATTTTAAATGACCTACTTAATTTGAACATGCAGTACTGACAAATACAGGCTATATTACTGTATGCTTGAATCCTATAATTTGGCCCTGATTGTTACCTTACCTAAAACTAAGTTTTTAATCTCACCATTGTTCAGAACAAATTCAACAGCAATTGCAGCAAAATTGCATCAGCTTGTGGGGTCGTGAAGCAAAATTTTTTCCCGTCTGGTTCATATTTGATAAAGACATGCAAACCAATTTGAGACTAACATATTTTCTCTTGAGGGCCAAGCCATGCAGACACACCCACTGAGGGCCTGCAGGTTTTGGTGATTTTGTGGTAACGTTTTGTGTCTCACACCGAGCTCTTGCTATATCGTGCGACGAGGTCGTCTGCACTTCACGCGAACATGTTCTGACAACATCTGCACCTGACACCACATTTGCCTCCCGCATGCGTGAAGGAGTAGCCCAAACAGCCAAGTCCTCGTCTGGACTTAATTCCTAAGACATGTTGTTACGGGTTCATGGCTTAGACAGATTAAAAAGACTAAAAACTTTATGGATTACTGTATATATATATATATATATATATATATATATATTGAAAAGATATACTGTCCTGAGTTAATACTGTCCTGTATATTAAATGTAATAATAAAATTACATGTAATATTAAAAATGTAAATATAAAAACAAAATATAATAAAAAATGTTTAAAAAGCAGGGGTCAGTTGCATAAAAGGCTTAGACAAGTTAGTCATTTCTACATTTGGTTATATAAAAACATAGATTAGTCTAAGTTGAATCCAAAAAATAAGACTGATTACCCCTTGGCTAACTAGTTGGTCAGACTAGTTCTTAAGAAATAGTCTTAATGTAGTGGCAACTGTCCTCAGATGTAACTTATATGTACAGTATCTTACATATTTACATATAGGGCATCTCATATAGTTTGCATGGATTTTAATAATATCTAAATTAATACACTTTAATTTAGACTGCAGTGCCTACAGATCTGAAACAAATATTTACTGACCAGTGACCACTGCTGGACTTTGCTGAAGTTTTTAGTGGTTGATTTCACAGTTCAGTTCTGTTCATTTTCCTCCTGTTTTCACAAGGAACATCACAGAGAAATCTCCCACATAAAGACCTCTCTCATTTAGCTGATGTAAACGCCTGATCATAAAGTTTGGAGATCTTTAGGAAAGATAATATAAGAAGTGTTTAGTACTATAAAAATAAACACATGATCGCAAACTACCTAATATGCTTTCATGTGTTTTGAATCTGTTATTATGTTAGCCAAGCCTGAAACTGTATTGAAAATATAAAAACAACATATTTAGAGATGTTAACCACAGTCAAATATCAATTTTGTTGTTTTTAACCTGATCAAGGATTATTTTTCTTGATATTAATTTTAAAGGGCCAGTTGACATTGACAGAATGTTTCTAAACATTTTATTCCCTCCATTAATGCAGAAGATCTGTGATGATATTTTGTAGGAAACAGTAAGGTACAGTATAGTAATCAAATTAAACATAACAAAATTAAATAAAATTATAAAAAATAGATGGGTCCTCATAATAACATATGATATATAGCAGTATTCCTATCATTGTGGTCTAATTAAAAAATTAAAGCTTTGTGTAAGTAACCTGTGAGGTAAGCAATAATTGAACCCAGACAAAACCACAGGAATTCTACAGGAACAACCTCTGACAAAAGGAATCATGCATGTGAATGATTATGAAACAAATAACGACACAGTAAAACAAAGCATTGTAGAATTGGGCCAGAAAGAAAACAAAGGTGTCATGGATTATACGTAGAAGAAAAAAATAGTGTAAAATAATGTTTCAAACAAGCCAAAATGTGAAAGAAAAAAAAATTTAATTAATTAAAAAGAAACAAAAGACAAACAAAATGAGTCTGTCCATTGAAGGGTTTCCTGAGCTCTGAATATAATGGTGGCAAAGGCCTTCTGGGAGTGACATTGGACACAGGAGCGGTAGTGGGTGGACAGACATGATGGATGTTAATGTCAGGTGTAAATGGGGCCATAGGTGAAGGGCTGGACAGAGGTGGGGTCGGGGGGTTGACATGAAGGGGAAGTGAGGTCACAGGGCTTTTTAACACTGCTTTGTGTGAAAATTACAGCGCCATTCACCACCCACACACACACAAACAAATACTTGAAAACTTCTTATGTAGCTTTGTCACGCAAAGGTGAAGTAGTACTGAAGTTTATTTTCCCCATATGTCACCATGGAAACCAGGATTTGGGGATAAAAAAAACAATAAATCACGGAAAAAATTCCATACACATTAAACATTTCCATTAAGCATACATACTTACCCAGGATCAACTTTTTGCCATTTTGAATATTGAAAACAGGAAACTAGACTCCATGTTTAACCACCAATGGCTCTGAAGCATTGGACCATAAAAAAGCAAGACTTAATCAATAAAGTTAATTCTTTATTGATGCAGTAATTGTGAATGCATTGGCCCTATAGACTAAGCAAGCAACAAAAAGGTAGCATTTTCAAAACATGAAATGAGGTTTGTGAGGTCTTGAGACATTCCCATGGGTCTTTGTTTTCTACAGTGCATTGCTTGGCTGATTCAAGGTTAAGGCTGCATAGCAAAGAGAGGCGAGGTTACACTATCTCTCCATACAGACAGTCTTATTGTAAATAATATCCAGTGCCTGAGGGGCCACTAACGGCATTAACAACTATTATATTTTTTTTGCTTCCATTTGAAAATTCCATATTGATTATTCATCTGTGGCCACATTGATATGTGTTATGACTGGTCTAAGGAATGGAAAACTCCTAGAGAATAAAAGCAAGAAAGAGAAGGCAAAGACAGGTAATGCTATTCATCAAATGAATGTCAAGACTCTACGGGATAAGATGAGCCAAGTAGAAATGAAACAAAAGTAAAACCAACACATAAAACTATGTTTCAGTTATCTCTTATTAACTATTCTTTTGTAACAGCATCTGTAACATAAGGCCATTTAAATATGAATGACAAAAAAACTGTAACAACATAAAATAATAAATAATTATAACTCTGCACATTATTCCTATTGTCTTAAATCAATCCATAAATCAACAAGAAAAACGTTTTACTTTTAAAATGTTTTAATATATTAATCATCCAATCTTATGGACAGTGAGCAGATTATTGAGAATAAAAAAAAGATAATAAAAATGTAACTCAAACAGAGAAAGAAGTGTAGCTACTAAAAGCACATGTTTATGTAGATTTTACTGCATTACAAATATTTAAACTATTGTAACAAAGCTAACAAAAAAAGTGTCAAACTAAGGTTGCACGTCAAACTATATCCAACCATCCATCTCAATATATTTCTCTGATTGACCTTGAATATCAAGTCGGCAGTGCATGT